GTTTTAAGAAAGGGAATGACATAATCTGATTAGTGTTTAGGAATGATTTAACAGCCTTGCTTTTCAAGTATCAATTAATACAATTAAATAAAATTAGGAAAGGATCTCCCCTAAAAGGAACAAAGGGAAAATTTCAGAAATATCTGGAACTTAGAATTAAGGCAAAACTACATTAAGATAGAAATTAATACAATTTGCGGTTCTACAACGAAAGTAGATCAAATAAACTGAATCAAATATGAGTTCAACGCAGTTAAACTATAGTAACTTGGTAAACTCTGTCCAGGAAATGATAGGCATATACTTTGAGTTTCCTTTCATATGATAGCATTTTTCCAAGCGGCAGAGAGAAAAAGTGATGGAAATGTATCTCATGTCTGACTTCTCACTAACCATAGTATTATGGTTTGAATGTATTTCATTCAAAATTCAGGTTTTGCCAATATGATAACATTAAGATGCAGGGCCTTTAAGAGGTTAGCAGGCCATGAGGGCTCTGCCCTTGCAAATGGAATTAGGTGCTCTTGTAAAAGGTCTTGACAGAGGGAGTTTTGTCCCCTTTGCTCTTTGGACTTCTGCCATGTGAGGACACAGTGTTTCTTCCCTCAGGAGGATGCAGCATCAAGGTACCATGTTAGAAGCAGAGAGCAGCCCTCTCTAGACACTGATTCTGCTGGCACCGTAATCTTGGACTTTCCAGCATCCAGAAATGTGAGAAAATAAATTTCTGTTCTTTATAAATTACCTGGTCTCAGGTATTCTGATATAGCAGCACAAAACAAAGACATACAGTATGAAAGATGAGTGAGCTTCAGTTGTAAAGTCTGATAGGCAATGTATTTAATTAGGATATTTTTTGAAGCTCCTAGATATTTGGTTTGCATCAGCCCTAAAACAGCATTGTATACCATTCCACATACATAGAACAGAAAAAAGTATTCTCAAACTTACCTCAATTTTAACATAGTAAAAATAGAGTACAATAATCTGTAAGAGAAAGTTATCAGTTTCAATTTGCTTTTTTTCCCCTTACTGTTGGCAGTCAACTAAAAGAAAGAATATAAACTAAATGTTTGCCTAATAAATTATTTATTTGTGAAGGCTTTATGGTAGGAAAAACCTTACCAACGGTACAGCTGTCTTCAAGTACCACATCAACATTTCTGTCTCTGTACTCAACCCTGAAGTCCAGCATCCGAGGTTGCCTTTCTACAATCTGCCTGGATGGCATTACAGGTCGAAACGCCGAAGAAGCAGAGGGAGTAGGAGCTGGAGCTGGATGATTTGCTGGATTAAATGCAGGTCCTGGTATGGTCTCACCTCCATATTCACTAAAATGTTGACACAAAAGAAGGATTATCGTCAACCAAATCATTACAGAATACCACTAGGGACCCTTTCCATACTTAGCTTGTGTTGTTCTTCTAATCAAGTTTACCTACCCATACGTCAAGGCCAAACTCAAGTTCTACTCCCTCCACAAAATCTTTCCCAAGGACTGAAGGTCACATTACTCTCCCCCTCATCCTTGTCTTTCTATGTTTATTGGCAATATCATATCATTTAGCATTTAATTAGGTTTTTGCCTTATATTGTTATGATGTTAGTAAAACATCATTTTAAACTCTGTAAATTAAGAACAATGCCTTCTCCTTCACTCACTCTTTTTTTTTTTTTTTT